TTAATATTAGCTGTTATGTCCAGCTTCGCCTGGGTTTATAAAGTACCCTTCACAGTAACCTAATTGTTACACTCAGTGTTATTAATTGTAAATTTCAAAAATTATGTGGTAAAACTCATTTTAAGAACATTACTAGAAAGCCCATAAACTATGTGGGAAGTATATCCTTGAAAATAGCAAGTTTATAGATAATTATTACAATTGGTTTGGTTTATTTGATTATGGCAATGCAACGTGTGGATGATCTGCCAAGGAGGATGCCTCCCAGAAGGAGTTTTATGGAAAACTGGCCCCTATTTATGTGTTAATAACTTAGGGGAAAAAAAAAACTAGAAAACTGTACATGGCTAGCTCATTGGCAATGTGTGAACCCACGACCAACTACTAGTGTAACAGTTTCATCTCCACACAGGTGAGTGCTATATGCTACTCATAAAAGTAATAATACAGTGTGTCTACTTTGCACTATAACATTGTCGCAGTAATTAAATGAGTATACTGTAATATTTGTTTTTTTTAATTATATCCTTTTTTATACAAATTATACTTAGTTTATTATTTTTAAAACTTTTTTTGCCAATACATGGCACTACACGTAAATGCAGCAAGTCAATATAAACGGAAATTAATTGATATATAGAAATCCAATCAATATTTTGGGGTGGGATGTATGACATTATCTAAGTTAGATGTATGTTAATGTAACTGTGGAATTTTGTTGCAATTGGTCAAATGACCTAGGAGTTTATAGCAAACAAAAAAAAAAACCAACAATCATTCTCATTTATAGATATAGATTTATTATTTAACTGGTTTTATTTATTTCAACATATTAATAAATTAATAAAATAAAACAATTTACTAAATGTTGAGAAACATAACTTGGATTCAATGTTCAAATTCTTTTTTATGATGGAATGAACAAATGCACCTCTTTTGAAGGAAGAGAGAATTTCACTGTGATATTTGTCGACCATACTCTCTTATATTTTCTGCATATGGCTTTCAAAAATTGTTTTTATATTTACTTTGTCTATACAGTTTTGTTTGAATGGTTTCTTTTTAATCTAGAATGATTAAAGTACCTGTTTTGACAATGTTTTTGAAAATAATTTTCATTTTTGTATATATCATTGTAGCAAAACTGTGTGCTCTTACCTCACTTTCTCTTACTTATTAATTATTCAAATATTTTCCCTAAGAATTAAAAATAAAGTTGCACACTTGTTGTCATGTCTAATTAATATCCTTTATCAATACTGCCCAATATTCTGCACAAAAAAATCTGTAATTATTACAGAATTTTTTTCATGCTAGATACTGAATGACATCAATAAAGGAAACTAATTAGACATGATGACAAGTGTGCAATGATTTTTAATTTGTTTGAAGATAGAGTCTTTTACTATTGGGCAGTACATTTCATATTACTTTAGGATTGTTCTTATAAAAAATCTACTGTTTGAAACATTTTTTTTATTTAAAAATGCCAGGTAGCTTAATAATATGGGAGTACAATGGGTGATCGGTTAACGAACATAATCCATTCCAAGACTTTGTTCGCTATCCGAATTGTTTGTTAACCGATTATCGATTTACCATAGCTTTTAATGGGAATTTAATTAATTTGTTCTGGAGACTCCCAAAAATAAAAAATATATACTTTCTTACTACGTTTATTTATATGTAATAATAAAAATACATACATATGCAGTCTTGCGTTTTTATTAGTCATGTTTTTTCCGTCTGAAAGTGTTAAAGAATCTGTCTAATGTCAATTGCTTTTCTCTCTTCATCAGGATTTTTCATAAGTAATTAATAGCATTGCAATTGTAGAAATCCCCAAGCTCCAACCTGGTTTGAATGCCATTCTAAGATCATTGTTCTGACATCCTCCCACTTCTTCAAAAAAATGTTTAATAGCAGATATCGACATTAATTCTCTTTTTCAGAAGAAAACATATCTTGCTGAGTGTCTTGGTATTCTTCATTCAAGAGTTCTTGGTGTTCTTCTGTCGTCAGATCCGTTTCAGGTTCCATTACAAACTCTTCGATGTTCTTTATTTCTCAGATGTGATTTCTGTTACTCCTTTAGCTGCTTGAGTCTTCTTGATTATACAGTATTTTTCTTAAATAAGATTGAACNACTTTCTTACTATGTTTATTTATATGTAATAATAAAAATACATACATATGCAGTCTTGTGTTTTTATTAGTCATGTTTTTTTCTTTATGGGGGTTAAAGAATCTGTCTAATGTAGATTGCTTTTCTCTCTTCTTCAGGATTTTTCGTAAGTAATTAATAGCATTACAATTGTAGAAATTCCCAAGCTCCAACCTGGTTTGGATGCCATTCTAAGACCATTGTTCTGACATCCTCCCACTTCAAAAAAATGTTTAATAGCAGATATTGACATTAATTCTCCTTTTCAGAAGAAAACATATCTCACTGAGTGTCTTGGTGTTCTTCATTCAACAGTTCTTGGCATTCTTCTGTCGTCAGATCCGTTTTAGGTTACATTACAAACTCTTCGATGTTCTTTATTTCTCAGATGTGATTTCTGTTACTCCTTTAGCTGCTTGAATCTTCTTGATTATACAGTATTTTTCTTAAATAAAATTGAACTGCAGCCTACTGTAAACCTGTTCACGCCATACTAACAAGCAACATTATGCATCTTCTGCCCACTCTCTACCTTTGCTATTATACTCTCACCTTTCAAAAGAAAAACAGACGCAAAACTTAATGAGTGCCTTCCTGACAGCCTCACAAATACATAAAAGAATTGTTTTGTCAGAAAAATAAAAGGCTGGAATTACAAGGGAGAGTTTCAAAATTCGGAGGAATACTATCCGATTTGTATATACTGGCTTGAGCATCAATGTCAACGTCTCCCACACTCCGAAAAGTTTCAAATTGTTGGCCGAAGACAAGGAAAGACAAATCAATATTCATTATTTTATGTTGCTTCTTCTTGTGTTTGTCCTGTTGGGTGTTCGTTGTCCAAACATAAAAATCTTTTGCGAAAGTGTTTGTTATCCGATCACCCACTGTATTTCACCTTATCAAATTTTTGGAGCTATGAATGAAGTTATTAATTTGTTAAATTGTTAGTGTTCTATAACTCAACATCATATGTTAACAGGTGATTTTATCTCTAGAATTGCTGAGGAAGAAGATTATAAAGTATATTATGGTCTAAATCAGTTTGTGTATAATAGTATCTTTAGATAAAGATTATAATTTAAGAGGATCAAATCTGTTAAAGTCCAGCTCTAAAAATACATTATTATGTATTAGATGGAAGTTTTATAAATAATTGTCCTGCTGAATTCATATTTATTCCTAAAAATGGCAAATCAATATTATTTATTGAGTATATCTCTATAATACTATTCAATGAAATTTCCAACAAATCAATTTTTTTTCTCATGATTCCCAAAAAGGATATCTTCAAATCTGTATGAAGAAAAAATAATCTTATCTTATTTCTATTTGCATAATTAATCAATGTGTTTAAATTATATTGTAACCACTCGTTTTTGACTTTCAAAAACTTTACTTCTTCCAACTTCTTTTATTGTATTTTCACTGTTTAAAAACTAATTCTTTAAACCATTAGTGCGTAAATTTAATGAACTAACATCTGGTTTCAAGGATACACAGTTCAGCAATTATTGAGTTACTCGAATGAAATAAACCTGCTATTTTTTCCGATAAATGTGATCATTTCTAAAGTGTTTGTATTAATTTGTTCACTTACATTATAGAGGAAATTAGACTCTTTTTTTTTTTTTTTGTGTCTTCAAATTTGATCATTCACTCCTGTTTTCCACTACTGGTTTTTAACTATTGAATTAACAGCTATACTCCTTTTATGTTAATTATTATTCCTATTTTGAGTCAATGTACAATCTCTTTTTCAGGAAAATGTTGTAAGAAACATTGATATAATTCAATACTGGCAATAAACATTTCAACATGATGCATCTTGGCAAATTTAATGTTTCAGTCGTACTGTAATATACAAAATTATTGCCCTGTACAAAAATTTCTTTTCTACACTAGGCAGATGATGATACCCACATATTTCAGTTACTAAACATTTTCATTAATTTGAATAATGAAAATTACATAATGATTAAAAATGTTATATTAAAATATTATTCAAAATTCAAACATTATAAAGGTTTAATTGAATATTTTCTCATAACTTTACAGGTTAGATCTGAAATCAATTAGTTCTTGCTTCAGTATTTAAGTGCCAGTAACAAAGGTCATTGCGGCCAGATGGCCGAGTGGTCAAGGTGGCAGCCTACCGCTCTGGGGGACCCGAGTTCGAATCCGAACGGGTCGAATAATCCCCAGGAATCTTTCGGGGGGGGGGTCCGCTCGGATATGTCGGGCCCCGTCCCTCATCACCCGGCAGCCCCATTGTGGGCCTGGCCGAACCCATAATGGGCTTGCAAAAAAGGGCCCTCTTAGTGCCCACAGGGCAAAAAGAGTTTAAAAAAAAAAAAAGTAACAAAGGTTAGAATAATTTATATATATTTTCAAGCTTTGATTCATTTCATTAATTTAAACAGCTTTGGCAAATAAAATCTTTGTTAAAATCAGCATTTTTCTTGAAAAAAATAGCATACTATTCTCATCTTATGCCACTTTCATCAAGATTTTCATTTTAAAATTATGTAAAAATAATCTTTTGTTAAATAATCTAAACGAAAAGTGTGCATTTTTCAAAAATTTGTTGTAATTTTATTTAATAAATATTTACTTTATGAAAATGTATTATTAATTCTAAAAACTATTATGAAACCTAATGAAAATTCTCAAACTTGTAATCTTTATTATTATTAATGTTTATAATGAAAATTTGGCATTGTTTATACAATTTCTATATGACTTCTTATTTAATGAGTGTTCTTCTATTCAGATTAGTCAGTTTTACTCTTATATTTATGTATAATATCCAAAATAAAATATTTAACATACTTACTGAATGTGCTGCTCTTGTGTTACTTTTATCCTGTTGATCATGATCCGCATGATTATTACGAGCAAATTCATCCTCATGATTCTGAATGGGAGAAGTTAAAATACCAATTTCATCGACTGTTTCTATGCGATTTGTATCACCTTCCTGCCTGTTATTATTTGAAAATGAAGCAGAATCAAAGGTGGGTGGACACGTGTATCTTCTTTTGGATTTTGTGAAACGGCGATGATTGAGTATGGAAAATGGTTCGTCGGTACTCAACATCTCATCATCAGTATTCATATCACCTTCCAACCATGATGTTTCTAAAATTGTAAAAAATTAAAATAATTAGTGATACATACAAATATTTTAGTTTAAAGTGACATTTATCATCAGCAATATTGCTAATTTGAAATAGGAAATTATAGAATAAAACTTAATATTTTAACTAAAATTACTTTATAAAAATGTATTTTATAATATGAGGTTGATTGAAAAGAAAGCAAATTTGGTCTATAAAGATTTTGATATTTAGTTGCTATCCTCTTCAAGGTAGTTAGTTATCCAATGCATTTACACTGCTTCTGCCAACTCTCAAACACTCCTTGAAAGTCATTGTTTTAAAAATTCTGAATCACCTCTTGTGATTTAAAGTGAATGTCCTCACAATTGTATCGAAATGCCACACATTGAGCTACAATTTCATTCTAATGAACAAAAAGTCACTAGGAGAGAAATCTGGAAAGTAAGGATGAAGAAGGAAGACTGCCATACTGTTTTTTTTTGGCAAACATATTTTAATTTTGAAAGCTGTGAGTGTATGGAAGCATTGTTACGATGAAGGAGCCAGGTTTGGTTGTGTTAAGATTCTAGTCTTTTGCAACAACATATTCATATGTAATCACCTCAAAACATTGCAGTAAAAGTCTGAATTCTCTGACTGACTAGGAAAAACAAATTCCAGTATACAATCCCCTTATGATGGAAAAAATTATCAACATGTTTTTAGTCACACTCTTAATTTGTTTTGCCTTCTTGGGTCTCAAAGATTGTGATCTCCCACACATAATCATAAACCTACTGAAACATTTCAGTACTCTGTGGTAAATTTCTCAAAGTTTAATGCAAAATTTAACATTTTCTCTTTGCTCAATTTTTTAGTTCATTCTCAAATCACAGCACAACACTAACACAGTGTTACAAAATAGTAAGTATTCCAGTTTGAAAACTTCACCACCACTTAGCAGACTGATGCTTGAAAGTCTAATGCAGCAATCCTTGATGACAAAAAGATTGTACTTCCCACTATTATCGAACTGTGGAAACAAACAGTCCAATTTGTTAAAATAAATGATGCTATGTGGAAATAAACATATAGGATCATTTATATTTATATAAATAATGCTATATATGAATACTTTGTACATTGTGCTGAGTTAATATTTTGTATAATTCTTATAATTAAAATGGCATAAAGTTTTACAGGTATATACCACTTAATGATGGGATTATATCCCAAGAAATACAACATTAAGCAATCATAAAGTATATTTAGACAAACCTATATGGTATAGTTTTCTACTCATACAGGCTGCTATACAGTTTGTATAAGATAATAAGTATTTATTTGTCTAAAAGTACAGACAGGTAAAAATTTTTCAGCACCATTATAATTTTATGAAACCTCCAACTTTAAGCAGAACATTGTTAAACTATGCATACCTGTATTTATAACTTTAATCATAGAAAATAAAAGGTGGTTTTTAGCTCACTTTTTCTTCTTTTACTGTAATTTCACTGCAATTTTGTTTGAATAAATTTTTACAATACCAAAATTATTTGATATTTATAATCTATAGACTTTTAACAATTGTAATCAAATATGTAGCAAACTGTTATAAAATTTAATAAGTCACTTGGAAAGACTGAAAACATTTACTGAATACTGGTAGCTGGTCGTGAGTTCACACCTGTCAATGGACTAGTCATATGGAGTATTTTGGGTTTTCTTCACATACCTAACAGTTAGATAGGAATCAATTTCCCATAGATAGTCCTCCCAAGAGGCATCCACCATAGCAGATCATCGCTTGTTGCACTGCATTAACTCCATCAATACAATGCATCTCTAACCCATAGGAAGTGTTATATTTTGTATGACAAATATCCACTTTTTTCTTCTATTTAGTTATTTTGTTTGTTTTTAAATTCTAATTATACTCTGTTCTACAAATATTTGATTAAATTTTTTAACACAACTTTCAGTGATTCAAAAATTGGTAATTATTTTATATATTCAATTTATATTTGCTCACAGCCTGATGAAGAACATTTAAAATGGCCAAATTTTAGTAATACATAAGTTTTGCCAGACTGACATGGCGTTGAGTGTATTATGAATGGTATAGTGTAACGATGATAATATTAATTAATATGATACTTATGTAAAACAGACAATTCCAGGAACCACTAGAAAATATAATGCTAGAATAGATGAGTTCACTTTTTTATTCAGGACTTAAAAGTTTTTTCAGACAAATACCATCATCAGAATCCACAAAAAAATGGGTCATAAGCATCGATAATGTGTTCTAAGCTTTTCAAGCATTTGAAACCAAAAAACATTTGAAAGAATTGGTACATTAATAATGTTACCTGAAGAAGGTCCTAGGGTGGACCGTAAACGTTTGTGTTACATTCCAAAATAACTGCAAAGCATTCTAAGGTTAGTGCAGTGTATTTATTAATAATGTTATTTCAATGAGTCTGTCTGTAGATGTTTGAACTTTCAAATGCACAAAAAGGTTTAGAACATGTTATTAATGTTTATGTTTGCTTTTTTGGTTATGGATTCTGATGATGGGATTTATGTCTTGAAAAATGTTTAAAACCTGAATAAAACAGGGGATTCCTTATGTGTTCCAGCATTACAATTTCTTCTAACAATTCACAGTCATTTATTTTACATCAGGTGTTTTACATATTTGTTTATCCCTAGCTAAAAGTTGACAAAGCATGACCATCAAATTAGTTTCATCCGAGGAATAGTTGATTTTTCTAAGTTAGCATTCATTAGAACATTATTATTAATGCAATGTTTTTTTGCATTTGTCTATTAATGTTCAAATTTTCAAATGTTCAAAAAACTTTAGAATGCATTATCGATATTTATGTTTCATTTTTGCTTTGTGGACTTTGATAATGGGATTTATGCCCAGTAAAACATTTAAATCATTAACATGATAAAAAAAACTACAAATATCACAGAAATTTAGAGGCACAAAACATTAATAAAAATTTCTCAGAAAACTTTCATTTTAGGAGAAATTTACAAGAGAAAAGGTGAAAAATCTGTTAATTGAACAATAATTTCAAACTTTGTTTTTGATTTTAGCTATAAAAACTATCTCAATATAAAAAATTATGAAAGAGAGAGTTATATATTTAAATGTGGTTTTAGCTATAATGTATGAGATATTATTAGAAGCAACAATTGATAACTTAGAATCATTTATACATCAAATTAGTTATTAAATATCAAGAATTATTTATCAGCTATAAATCAGACATAAAAATAAAATTATAATGATGTTATATTAAATAATTTTCAGGTAAATTAATAAATTTACCTGAAAATTAGATTAGAAAATTAGAAAAAGAATGATAATTTTAACAAGAATAGGTAATAAATTATTATTATTTTTAAACACGGAAAAATTGAGTAATTGGGACAGCTCTCTCTTCCTAAACTTATAAGAATTAAAATTAAACAATGAATATCCAGTTATCAAATTGAATTCGTTCAAAACTTAAAATGGTAATAAGTTCATCGTAGTATTAACAGTCAAACAATGGAAAGAATTTCCAAATATTTCTTCTAGACAGATTCAATAAGTAGTTAATTAATAAATATATTAAAGTTGTGAATAAAATCAAAGATTTAAACTTGTACGATAATAAAGTTTGTATTGTAACACTCTTAACAAAATTCTGCTTTCTAAATTGATATTAAACTAACAGAAGTCAAAACAAATTCATTAAATTTGAAATGTTTATAAATTATACTAATTTTGCCTTGAGAAGATTAACTGCAAATAAAATATAAAATATATCTGGCATTTAAATTTTTAATAAATTTGTTGCTTGTATTACAGAATTTTGAAATGAGAAATAGGAGTAATTTTCATATTTTCTATTTATCTTATTTTCCATTCACCTGATATTTCATTATATATAGTAACATTTTTCTTTTACAGTAATAGTAACTTTTAATAGATCATATAGTCATTTAAATAAATATTTTTTATGTTAGTTCAATTGAACAATATAGACAGAAAACACTACAATTAGATAAATGTATTTAAAAATTGATATTTGATTTTTGACATTTTATTTCTCTGAAATTAAAATCAAACCCAAATTTACTCGCATGAGAACAGATTTATTTAAAAATTTAAAAACCATTTCTACACTCTTTTCTTATAGAAATGAAAGAATAAAATTATTACATATTTTATATTTAATGAAGCTTATGTAGTAGTTTTTTCTAAAAGCCACTCAACAAGAGGTACTCTTTCATATAGGGATATGCATTTCAGGCATTTTTTGCTCCTCTTCTTAAGAAATTGAAGAGGGGGGAAAAATGCCTGAAATACATATTGCTACATGAAAAGAGCACCTCTTGTTGACTGTGGCTTCCAAGAAAACAACTAAATAGGTTTCATTAAGTATACATTAAGTATTAAAGTAAAAGGAGTGAGTGGAAGAAGAAAAAAATTACTAGAGCCAGCCATACTCTATATAAAATTAAGCCCGAGCGTAACTGTATATAGTTTTTATCTCCATGTGATTAGTATATTAATTAAAATGGTGGCATTCATTTCAGAAGATCCTCTATAAAGTATACTCTTTTCTAAACAAATCATTTAATATTATATTATTATTAATTTATTGGTTATATTTAACTACATTTTATAATTTATAACTTTTTATGCACATATATATGTTAATTATGATTTAGATTTATATTATTTTACAATGCGGTTTAATTGTTGCTAGGGATGGAAATCCATTGTCATAAGACATTTCTTATTACAGTAGAACCTTCGTTATCCGGACCTCCATTATCCGGATTTTCAATTATCCGGATTGTTCAAAATAAACAAAAATTTTACGAATTTGCTGATTTGCACTTGGCGAATTACGGCACTGTTTATGTACGTGATGAAATGCATAAGTTTTTTTGTTTCAACAACGTCTCACCCAGCACAGTGGTCATAAACTCTTAATATATTTTACGTAGTAATAAAAATATAACTTGACATACGTATTTATAAATAATTTATATTCAAATTACATCATTTCTATGACCAAGGGCGGCGTAAGGCATGGACGACGTGGGCTACTGCCTATGCCTCGTGGTCCAAAGGGCCTCGCGCCTCGAAGTTTTATGCATTACTTAAAAGCCGCAAACGCGACGAAAAAATTGTACTAGTCATAAAACGATAAATAGTTTGTCAAATTTTTATTCATAAAAATGCAGTTTCAACTGCTTTTTATTTTATAAAATCCGTCTTCTTGCGCCACCAGAAGGCCTTTTAAACAATAGGTGGTCTGTTAGCGTTGGTCAGTAGTAGTACAAATTCAATACGAACGTTTGTTTCTCGAAAATTTCATTACGGTTTAAATACAGTATTTACTTTTAATATCATCGAATAGAAAACGTGTTGTATTATCATTAAAAGACAAATTAAAGTATTTGTTTCGATTATCCGGATTTTTCCTTATCCGGACTACCTTCATCCCCAATTAGTCCGGATAATCGAGGTTCTACTGTATATGTAAAATAAAAATAAATAAATAAATATGTCAGGAAATTTCAAATTACATTAAAATTTTTAAAATTCCAGATAGTAGTTAAAAGATAATTTGTTTTTAATGACATCTATAAAGTTGATTTTTACATGAGCTTAACATTATGCTGAACTTCATTAATTTTTAAAATAGTAAACATTAGTAGTAATGGTATTAATAAAACACAAGTGATTTCAAAGAACAAATATATAAAATTTAATACTTAATACAATTACTAAAAATTTTATTTTTCAAACTTATTACACTAATGTTTGATCAGTATAATAAAATAACATCTATATTTTTATTAACACACTTCAGAAATGTGAAGTCAATGACAGATATAAATAAATCTTGCTAAATGAAAAATCCAGCAATGAGTTGTGTAACTTTACCAGTAAAAAATACTTGTGTTAAGAAATACTAAGACATGTTAGCAGAAGTTAAAATTGAGTGTGGTGCCATCTGTTATAATGTATTAAAAATAACTTTTACATCATTAATTATTATAAAAAGACAAAACAGGCTTAATTTTGAAGGCAAAGACAAGTTTCTAAAATTATTATAAATGCCAGAAACAAATTTTCATTATGTCTGACTCCACTTGAGATATGACACAACCCCCTTTCAACCTTTAACCACCAAAATTTAACCACTCAGCAGTGAAGGACAGATATATCCATCCAGGGTGATCGTGTGACAGCAGTGAAGGATGGATGTATCCATTAAATTGTTTTGGGGTATTGCCAAAAACTACTGCGAAAAAAAATTCACCCAAAAAATGAATTATGTAACAATAAAAAAGACTTTTCTTTACTAGATATAACTGTTTAGAAAATCTTTTTCTAAAACAGTAATGAGAAAAAACTTGCAGAAAAATACTTTAAAAATTTCCCACATTTATTCTCCACTACTGGAGGTAGAACCATACCTAGCTAGTCCACTGTTGAAACGTTAATAGAATCAATGCCCCTTATGTACAAGTTACCATGCCAAATGATTAAGTTTCTTAATCTAATATAAGAAAGTTTGTACAAAAGAAATCTGTATTGTCAAAAAAAAAAAAGTAAAAATCCTGTCCTCATTAAAAGCATAGGAATAACTTTCTGCAACTTCACTCACTTAGGCATATTTTTTCCATTAATATTTTAAAAGCAATAGCACAAGTTGAATATCATTTACAACATTCAGAAGACAGTTTAACTGTCTTCTGAACGTTGTTAATGATATTCAAATCTACGATTAAAATCTATAAAACACAAATTTTATGCCAAAGTTATAGAATGGATGTACAAAGATTATGAAAGTCAAAATAATTTCATGTTGATAAATATTACATTCATTACTTTTAGATCAAAGTAAAATAGAGAAACAAAGTGTTTAAAATACAATATAGATATATTACTCATACTGTTTACACAATGTAAATAAACTGCACAAGCATATTGATTTAGCAATGAAAAATAAAAAAGCTGCATCAGGATAAATCATGTTATAAGAAAATACTAAATTAAACTTTTGTAATTCAAGTATTACTTGTTGATTGCTTTATTATATTTTATGTGAGAATTTTCTCAGTTTAATATTTTTTAGTAAATGTAAGTATTCCCAAAAAGGCAATAGATTATAACAACACACATGCAATCTGTTTCCTACAATAATATATGAAAATCAACTTTTTTTTTCAGCACATCAATACTGTGTAACATAGATCACCATTACATATTTAAATGATCGAATTAAAGAAAGAAATTATATACAAAACTAAAAATATTTCTAAAATTTTTGTTCAGTTTTGAAATTATTCATTATGTATTTCACATTAAAATATTGATGTTAAGAAAGTATTGGAATAGGTAACTCACTCCAATACTTTCTTGAATATTAATTTTTTAATGTAAAGTTCATATTAATGAATAATTTCAAAACTGGACAAAAATTTCACAAATTCTTCTGTATCTGTCAATCTATTAATCTAAAAGTCGACAATACAAATAATTTAATGCATTCAAACTCCATTAAAAATTAATAAATTTATTACAAGAATTTGTATTTCAAAATATCAAACTGTAAAATCAACAGATAAAAAACAAAAAATTTTAAATTTAAATGTTTATTACATTATATATTCAATAACTTCAGATGAAATTAATCTACCTTTTTTTCTTTTTTTTTAAATTATTATAACTTTAATCTTTAAATATTTCAAAATCTATAAATATGTCTGTATTGTTTTTAAACTCTTGATTACTTATATTTAGAAAATGCAACTTAATCTCTTATATTGCAATATTTTTTTTGAATAAACAATGAACATTCTATTTTTGAAAGTATTTAGATAGGTATTCCAGGCATTTTATTCAATAATATATTGAAAATTTAAAAATTTTTAAGATATTCAATTTCATAATTTCATTTACATCTACTTCTAATATTCTTGAAGACTTATGAAAACATTAATGTTATTAATAGTAGTATCAATTTCATTAAAGGTCCTGTTTAAAATGATCATCATCAAATGAACCTTAGCAAGAACTTAAATATATGCAGCAGTAGTTCTATATATTTTTTTCATGAACTTATGTATTTGGAATTAATTTTCAAAGATAATTATAATAATCATTGTAAAATATAAATGACCATCATATTCAAGAATACAGATTGTTAGTAAAATCATATTTGATTATGTATAGGTCTATATGTTTGGTGTACATTAAACTGTATATCTAAGATATATATATAATAAAAATTGTGTGTACTATCAAACAAATTTGATTTCACAAGTAATCTGATCATTCCTATTGTATATAATCAAAATTTACCTGCATTTTAAATCTAATATATCGATATATTCAACAACTCATTTCATTATATGTAACATGGCAATGTTTAATGTAATGCTTTGTAAACAGTAGCAAGAGTAATAAACATCATTTTTATTTAACAATATTGCTAACTTGTATGCAAAGTCTAATTATTAATTAAGACTTTTAAATAAACATGCCATAACAAACCTTGACAAATATCTTCATATTTTAATGGAACATCCATGTTTGTCTGTGCAAAATAGTGTTCATACATTGCTGCATCATATTCTAATTCACGAATAAAACGTCGAATGCCTTCAAAGAAAACAATAAAATTCAAATAATTATTAAATAAATTTCAATCTTAAAAACTAAATATTTATTTTATCAAGTTCACATCTGTCATTGCATAAACTATCTGTTATGAATACAAAACATAAATTTCAAAATATATGAGGATAGATCAGAAAGTAAGGTTTTCTATAAAATTTGGGGTCCCACAATAAAATCTGTTGAGTCTAGTGATGTATGAATGTGCCAATGCAGATTTGGGACGTGAGTGTAATTGTTGTAGTCTTGAATCAAGTCCTCTTGTGACATGCTATACATGTGCTAGAGTTATAGCTTTATAAATATTGGAGACCAATCTATCGGTAACAGAATGAACCAAAATCATGATATAATGTTTGACAAGATAATGAAAATCATAAAAATGATAAAACTTAATCTAAAGCTAGAAAATCATTAAAAAAATAACCTTAAAAGTATCCAACATATAAATACAGTAGAGCGTCAATTTTCCGAAAGTCAATCATCCGAAAGAATTCCAGTCGGCAAATTTTAATTTTCGCCAGTCAATTTTTGGCTATGTCTTGGGCTACTCAAATATTTTATGTTTTTGATACTAAATTAACATCTGAAGTATAATTTTTTATTATTTTTATATTTTTCAATATATTTATTTTGTTTGTACAAAATCAAAAAATAATTTTTAATGATACAATAGTCTTTGTTAGGCTTAACATCGACGAAAATTCAATGCGAAGCGACACGCAACAGAGAAAAATTTTGACATCGGATACGTTAAACTATTTTCTCATATGTAAATCAGTTAAAAATTGTCAGGATTCCAACATTTTTTACTAAGGTGAAAAGGGTTCTGCAATAAGAATAAGTTGGAAACTCAGGCTCTATCCTCATGGAGAAAACAGGACTCTTGAATACATGACTGATTATCAGAGAACACTAAAGAGACTGAAGGAGATTACTCAGTAGGAGATCTGGATTGCTGAGGGTCTTGCGTGAGCCTGGATTGTTGAGGGTCAATCTAACAGCTCTGCTGCTACAGTGATTGTTTAGAGGATATTAGCTAGGGAAAGTTCTCACATCTTTCATACCATTCAGACTTTGCACTATCTGATTTTCATTTGTTCCCCAATCTGAAGAAGCATTTTCAAGGAAGGCATTTTTAATCTAATCAGTGTGTTCAAAATGAAGTGAAAATATACTGAGTTGCATGACCAGGAATCATTTTTCCATGAAGGCTCATGAACTGTTAAGGGAAGTGCTTGAACAAACTTGTTGGCTACATATAGAAATAGAGGTAGTATCAAAGTGCAATGTATCACTTTTCATTTGATCTCTGTATCTCAGATTTTGTAATTAAAAGAAATTGCATGCATAACCAAAGACGTTACAATCAGCCTTAAATTAGAATTGAATAAAATACTAAAATAATAAGATTGCAAACAAATGAAAAATCAAAAGTATGATGTAAACTATTGCTAAATAACATAACAACATCTCTCTTAATTAAATTAATTAATTAATTTAATTAATTAAAATCATAATTCTGTAAATAATATAACATAACACACTAAAATATATTTTTATTGTTAATACCACAACAAATTTTCTAAATATGCAATCTTTAAGACATGTAAATATATTGGAACAATGAATAAAATGCTTTCAGTTCAATGAAATGCTTTAAAATGCTGCCAGAACACTTAAGAATTCTTAAAAAAATACTATCTAAAATTTTATATGAAAGTAAACAACAGTTTAACTAAATTCCATACATTTACAATGATAAGCATATTAACTAAAAGCTGACACTTAAATTGTCAAGGTAAAGTATAATATACCTCCTAATTAACATCTATAATGGCTTCTTACTCATATAACTAGTTAAACAAGGCTATAAAACCTATATAAAGTCAAGTTTATGCTTGCTTTTAATTAATGTATAATGAATTGCATATTGTGAAATACTAGATTTGATTATGGATTCTCCTAAATTAATAATCCTTATTCTATTAATAAATATTAATGCTTGCAATCTTTAGTATCTAACAGTAGTAAATGATAAATGTACAATCATAAATTTGGCAATTAAAACATACGTAAAAGATCTGCAGAACAATGTCTACAGGACAATACATTTATTGTTAAATTATATGGTGTTTATTGAGCAAGTAGTCATAAATTTGCTGAGTCATAATCACATGTTTGATAAATAAAATTATTATTAGAAAAACTTAAAATGTAAATCAAATGTTAACTTTCAAAACTTGTTTAAGTATTCAATCTATAATTTTGCTTCGATACTTAATTTTGTTTTTATTGCAAATGAATCATGAAGGTAGAAAGTTATATCAATTATTATTAATGATGATTTCAAAATCGAACGTAAACAAGTTATTCTTAGCACTGCCTCTAGTCATCATTCTTCATATTAAATAGACAATACACAACAAGACAATAAATCTCTCGAAATTTTCTGATCTGTGCAGTAAGAAAATATGCTCATTATAGGAACTAAAAAACAGAATTCTTTGAGAACTAACTGTTATTTTCACAATAAACATTCAATAACATGTCCAGTATGGCCTTGACTCTTTTCTTTCAATTGCAACAATTGTGTATTTAAATACAAAGCAAGCCATGCTACAAAATAACTATATAACTATTCAAGCAGTAATTAGTTTTCTTTATCAATAAAGTTATCTTTGTACAAACCTCATAATTACTTTCATTATAAAAACTAATTTATTGATTCATTTTCAAGTTAGTAATTAACTTGCAAGTTAACACACAAAGTAAAGATTATATTATATTTAATTAGTTATTGCTACTCTTAATAAATAAACTTACCTATAGTATGTGTCCTGCAGACAGATATCAAAACAAAAGACACTAAAGAGTGCCATATGAGTGCAAAGACTGAAAATATCACCCTTGACAGAAACTGCAACTTGCAAACAATGACGTATAACTCCACCTTTTCACAAGTTTCATTTAAATATGAGTGAAAGCCATCATAATCATTAGTACTGATGAAAATAGCACCTAATAGAAAAAACAAAACGGCAGCATTGATCTTGAATATAGTACGAGAGTGCATTCTTATGTCTCTAAGAAACTGCGTGTGACGGAATAGTCGTGCACTCAAGTTTTTTGCATAGAAACCGAATGACCCCCAGCACACAATTAAGAAAATACTAACTGTGCCATTGGCGATATCAATGGGAGTATTGGGAGAGAGTATATCAAATATTACAAACCACATGTGAGAAACAGCAAAAGTGAGAGCCGAAGCAAAAGTAAGCATGTGCAGTATCAAACCGATGATAGGTTTATCATTAGGATGTAACGGTATCCCTAAGCATTTAGCTATAACAAACCATAACCAATGAGGAAGCTGTCGTGACTGTTTTGTAGATCTGTCTTTTTTCGGAATGGATGGATTTGTTTCCATGAACGTTGCCAAAGTATTGTTGTCTTCTCCACTGGCTTCGTAATAACGACAATCAGCAGTCGTTTCATGAGTTTTGCTATAGAGAAAAGAATAATAAATTGAATAAATTTAAATTAAATCTTAATTTATTTTAAAATATATCACATAAAAAAATTAATTTATCATTATTTAAATTAAATAACAAGAAAATTGATAAAGTCTCAACAACAATTTCACAATCTTTGATTATTGAATTACTAATTTAGTACAGATCATTGCATACATTTTGATGGGGTAATGTGTACACATTTGGGGCACTGGAAGTTCTATGAAGTTCAAGAATCTCTTTTTGGTAATGTAGAATGAAGTTGTCACAGATTTATCTATCTTTTCCCCTCAATAAGTAAACAGACTGGTCCCTGCTATTGCACATTTTTATAGCCAGCCAAAATTTGTAAAATTAGGTTTGGCCATGCAACTGGACACACGAGTTTGCCATATTTTGCAATCTTTTGCAACAGAATAGGCATCTTTCATTGAATATTGATGTTTTGATCCTCTTAAAAGGTGTTGCACCAAGTTTACTTGGCATTCCTCTCTTTCTCTTTCCATCAACAATTATTCATTTTTAATGCAATTTTGGAATGTCTGTGGTCTAATAGAGGTAGAATACAGCTAGCAAGGCCTATTCATATGTTCTGTTCTTGATAGCACGTCATTTGTGATGTGGTTGCAATAACCAATTTTTAAGAATTTTGCAAAGACATTTCATGAGAAACTGGATAACTGATCAGCTATCAGATGATGTAAAAAGCAAATTACAATAAAGTTTATACCTTGAAAAAAAAATGCCATCTTTAATCTAAGAAAGTACTTTCTTCCAAAATTAAGTGGATTTTTGCAGGCATAATACATAAATCTGTTACTTCTGCCAATGGAAACTGACAATAATTTGAATAAACCAATATGGCAAATTATTCATTGTTAATATTAAACGGCAAGCTGAAATAATTGATAAAATAAATGATTTAAGCCAATCTGATGTCAGAAAAATTTGGTTCACTATTTGACGAAATATTCAGAAATATCTGATTATAAAGTTTTAAAACAATCTGAGATTATGATTGAATTATTAGAAAGTTGGCTTTAAAATCTGATATCAGTACGAGTGACTGTCAATGCTAAATTAAAATCATTAAGCATCCTTTGCATGAAAAAGAAAGAAGCTCCTGAATCAATGCTATGAGAAGAAAAACCAAACGTAAAGATAAAAATTTGAACCAGAACATACTTCCAAAAAACAAGCACAGACATGTCATTATAGATGATGAAAGTTATTTTACATTGTACAATGATTGTCAACCAGCTAATAATGCTTTTTACACATCTGATTCTTAAAAACTCCAGATAATGTAATGTTTATCGAACAGGCAAAATTTCCTAAAAGCCTGTGTGTTTGATTGTCATAAGCAGAAATATCATTCTACCACAATTTTCTTTCCTGAAACTGGCCCCTAATAGCTGATATAACCTAGATGGCCAGATGGATGAGTGATTAGGGTAACAATCTATTATTCTGAGGAACCCAGGATCAAATCTGGATGGGCAAAAACCCCAGGAATTTTTCAGAGGAATGGTCTGTTCAGATATGTTGGGTCCTGTCCCTCTGAGAAGTGTACACATGAAAGATTATGATCATCTATTAAAGAACTTATCAATCAGGATAATAAATCTTTTGATCCGATGGTACTATAGCCTACTACCCCAAAGCTTCAACTAATTACCATCAAAATAAAGCAGTCAGTCTTGTTTGATGGTAGTCAGTTGAGAATTAAAATGCAGTGATATTGGTAATTTATAAAATTTTAATATTAAATAAAAAAAATTTTAAATATTTATAATTAGTAATTTCCCTTCATTTTCTAAATTATTATTATTAATTTGACAGAGATTTACTAATGAGAAGCAGTGTTAAAGCATGAGAAATGAGATTAAAGCATAGCTCAGGGGAATGACAACTTTGTTTTGGTAAATAATTAAGCCATTATACTTGAAAATGTTAACCTACATTAATTTTTTCCCCTATTGATAACTCCAATAAAGCAGTCACATTATCAATATCAATATTTATTTTTTGTCTGTAATTGTCTTGCAAATAAATGTATACAAATAAGATGTTAAATATCAAATTAGGCAATTATTAAAACAAATATGAGCTTAAACAAACTGTCACACTTTTTCGTACCAGAAATCATTCAAATTACTAAATCAGAAGACAAACATGAGTCAAACTAAAATTAAAACAATGAAATATGATAAAACTGATTATTTTAGTTAGTTACATCATTATGTTTTGTCAGGTTTTACCTTAAAATAATAAAAAATTTTCTTTTGTTTACATCTGAATATAACAAAATATTAATTATAGCATGATTCCTAATTCTGGCATCTCTACAAGGTCATAATAAAATACACTATCCTACTTATAATTATTATTATTATTATTGTAATTAGGAATTTTATTCAAACAATATACTCAATCCAACAAATAATATAACAATATTAATTAACTCATATCATATCATATCCTTTAGAATTTCAGTATTAATATTTCTCCGTTTTGTTTAAGAAAAATGCAACCAATACATTTTATTAACAAAGTTATTCAACCATCAAAAGTAATGTTTAAGTTCTTTATTCTTCTAATTATAATTAAATGTGATGATCATTTTATATTAATTAATACAGTTGTAACTTTCAACCAATTTAATTTTAATAATGCGATAAAAGTATTTATGCCAACAAGTTAATGATGTAAGGACTAAAACTTAATTATATACAGATGTGTTTAAGCTGTAATGAAATGAAACTTTTTAAATAAAAACTTAAATAGATAAATGTATTATTCAAATGTAAGGTGTGTTTCAAATTTATACGGACACGAAAAAATTAAAGTGAAACACAAATTTGCTGCATTAAGTGACAAATGTTCTATTAAAAATAATATGGATTTACATGTTTCTACACTGCAAAATAAGAATTTTAATCAAACATTAATATTTTGTCACTGAAAATAATATTTNTCAATAATATATTGAAAATTTAAAAATTTTTAAGATATTCAATTTCATAATTTCATTTACATCTACTTCTAATATTCTTGAAGACTTATGAAAACATTAATGTTATTAATAGTAGTATCAATTTCATTAAAGGTCCTGTTTAAAATGATCATCATCAAATGAACCTTAGCAAGAACTTAAATATATGCAGCAGTAGTTCTATATATTTTTTTCATGAACTTATGTATTTGGAATTAATTTTCAAAGATAATTATAATAATCATTGTAAAATATAAATGACCATCATATTCAAGAATACAGATTGTTAGTAAAATCATATTTGATTATGTATAGGTCTATATGTTTGGTGTACATTAAACTGTATATCTAAGATATATATATAATAAAAATTGTGTGTACTATCAAACAAATTTGATTTCACAAGTAATCTGATCATTCCTATTGTATATAATCAAAATTTACCTGCATTTTAAATCTAATATATCGATATATTCAACAACTCATTTCATTATATGTAACATGGCAATGTTTAATGTAATGCTTTGTAAACAGTAGCAAGAGTAATAAACATCATTTTTATTTAACAATATTGCTAACTTGTATGCAAAGTCTAATTATTAATTAAGACTTTTAAATAAACATGCCATAACAAACCTTGACAAATATCTTCATATTTTAATGGAACATCCATGTTTGTCTGTGCAAAATAGTGTTCATACATTGCTGCATCATATTCTAATTCACGAATAAAACGTCGAATGCCTTCAAAGAAAACAATAAAATTCAAATAATTATTAAATAAATTTCAATCTTAAAAACTAAATATTTATTTTATCAAGTTCACATCTGTCATTGCATAAACTATCTGTTATGAATACAAAACATAAATTTCAAAATATATGAGGATAGATCAGAAAGTAAGATTTTCTATAAAATTTGGGGTCCCACAATAAAATCTGTTGAGTCTAGTGATGTATGAATGTGCCAATGCAGATTTGGGACGTGAGTGTAATTGTTGTAGTCTTGAATCAAGTCCTCTTGTGACATGCTATACATGTGCTAGAGTTATAGCTTTATAAATATTGGAGACCAATCTATCGGTAACGGAATGAACCAAAATCATGATATAATGTTTGACAAGATAATGAAAATCATAAAAATGATAAAACTTAATCTAAAGCTAGAAAATCATTAAAAAAATAACCTTAAAAGTATCCAACATATAAATACAGTAGAGCGTCAATTTTCCGAAAGTCAATCATCCGAAAGAATTCCAGTCGGCAAATTTTAATTTTCGCCAGTCAATTTTTGGCTATGTCTTGGGCTACTCAAATATTTTATGTTTTTGATACTAAATTAACATCTGAAGTATAATTTTTTATTATTTTTATATTTTTCAATATATTTATTTTGTTTGTACAAAATCAAAAAATAATTTTTAATGATACAATAGTCTTTGTTAGGCTTAACATCGACGAAAATTCAATGCGAAGCGACACGCAACAGAGAAAAATTTTGACATCGGATACGTTAAACTATTTTCTCATATGTAAATCAGTTAAAAATTGTCAGGATTCCAACATTTTTTACTAAGGTGAAAAGGGTTCTGCAATAAGAATAAGTTGGAAACTCAGGCTCTATCCTCATGGAGAAAACAGGACTCTTGAATACATGACTGATTATCAGAGAACACTAAAGAGACTGAAGGAGATTACTCAGTAGGAGATCTGGATTGCTGAGGGTCTTGCGTGAGCCTGGATTGTTGAGGGTCAATCTAACAGCTCTGCTGCTACAGTGATTGTTTAGAGGATATTAGCTAGGGAAAGTTCTCACATCTTTCATACCATTCAGACTTTGCACTATCTGATTTTCATTTGTTCCCCAATCTGAAGAAGCATTTTCAAGGAAGGCATTTTTAATCTAATCAGTGTGTTCAAAATGAAGTGAAAATATACTGAGTTGCATGACCAGGAATCATTTTTCCATGAAGGCTCATGAACTGTTAAGGGAAGTGCTTGAACAAACTTGTTGGCTACATATAGAAATAAAGGTAGTATCAAAGTGCAATGTATCACTTTTCATTTGATCTCTGTATCTTAGATTTTGTAATTAAAAGAAATTGCATGCATAACCAAAGACGTTACAATCAACCTTAAATTAGAATTGAATAAAATACTAAAATAATAAGATTGCAAACAAATGAAAAATCAAAAGTATGATGTAAACTATTGCTAAATAACATAACAACATCTCTCTTAATTAAATTAATTAATTAATTTAATTAATTAAAATCATAATTCTGTAAATAATATAACATAACACACTAAAATATATTTTTATTGTTAATACCACAACAAATTTTCTAAATATGCAATCTTTAAGACATGTAAATATATTGGAACAATGAATAAAATGCTTTCAGTTCAATGAAATGCTTTAAAATGCTGCCAGAACACTTAAGAATTCTTAAAAAAATACTATCTAAAATTTTATATGAAAGTAAACAACAGTTTAACTAAATTCCATACATTTACAATGATAAGCATATTAACTAAAAGCTGACACTTAAATTGTCAAGGTAAAGTATAATATACCTCCTAATTAACATCTATAATGGCTTCTTACTCATATAACTAGTTAAACAAGGCTATAAAACCTATATAAAGTCAAGTTTATGCTTGCTTTTAATTAATGTACAATGAATTGCATATTGTGAAATACTAGATTTGATTATGGATTCTCCTAAATTAATAATCCTTATTCTATTAATAAATATTAATGCTTGCAATCTTTAGTATCTAACAGTAGTAAATGATAAATGTACAATCATAAATTTGGCAATTAAAACATACGTAAAAGATCTGCAGAACAATGTCTACAGGACAATACATTTATTGTTAAATTATATGGTGTTTATTGAGCAAGTAGTCATAAATTTGCTGAGTCATAATCACATGTTTGATAAATAAAATTATTATTAGAAAAACTTAAAATGTAAATCAAATGTTAACTTTCAAAACTTGTTTAAGTATTCAATCTATAATTTTGCTTCGATACTTAATTTTGTTTTTATTGCAAATGAATCATGAAGGTAGAAAGTTATATCAATTATTATTAATGATGATTTCAAAATCGAACGTAAACAAGTTATTCTTAGCACTGCCTCTAGTCATCATTCTTCATATTAAATAGACAATACACAACAAGACAATAAATCTCTCGAAATTTTCTGATCTGTGCAGTAAGAAAATATGCTCATTATAGGAACTAAAAAACAGAATTCTTTGAGAACTAACTGTTATTTTCACAATAAACATTCAATAACATGTCCAGTATGGCCTTGACTCTTTTCTTTCAATTGCAACAATTGTGTATTTAAATACAAAGCAAGCCATGCTACAAAATAACTATATAACTATTCAAGCAGTAATTAGTTTTCTTTATCAATAAAGTTATCTTTGTACAAACCTCATAATTACTTTCATTATAAAAACTAATTTATTGATTCATTTTCAAGTTAGTAATTAACTTGCAAGTTAACACACAAAGTAAAGATTATATTATATTTAATTAGTTATTGCTACTCTTAATAAATAAACTTACCTATAGTATGTGTCCTGCAGACAGATATCAAAACAAAAGACACTAAAGAGTGCCATATGAGTGCAAAGACTGAAAATATCACCCTTGACAGAAACTGCAACTTGCAAACAATGACGTATAACTCCACCTTTTCACAAGTTTCATTTAAATATGAGTGAAAGCCATCATAATCATTAGTACTGATGAAAATAGCACCTAATAGAAAAAACAAAACGGCAGCATTGATCTTGAATATAGTACGAGAGTGCATTCTTATGTCTCTAAGAAACTGCGTGTGACGGAATAGTCGTGCACTCAAGTTTTTTGCATAGAAACCGAACGACCCCCAGCACACAATTAAGAAAATACTAACTGTGCCATTGGCGATATCAATGGGAGTATTGGGAGAGAGTATATCAAATATTACAAACCACATGTGAGAAACAGCAAAAGTGAGAGCCGAAGCAAAAGTAAGCATGTGCAGTATCAAACCGATGATAGGTTTATCATTAGGATGTAACGGTATCCCTAAGCATTTAGCTATAACAAACCATAACCAATGAGGAAGCTGTCGTGACTGTTTTGTAGATCTGTCTTTTTTCGGAATGGATGGATTTGTTTCCATGAACGTTGCCAAAGTATTGTTGTCTTCTCCACTGGCTTCGTAATAACGACAATCAGCAGTCGTTTCATGAGTTTTGCTATAGAGAAAAGAATAATAAATTGAAAAAATTTAATTAAATCTTAATTTATTTTAAAATATATCACATAAAAAAATTAATTTATCATTATTTAAATTAAATAACAAGAAAATTGATAAAGTCTCAACAACAATTTCACAATCTTTGATTATTGAATTACTAATTTAGTACAGATCATTGCATACATTTTGATGGGGTAATGTGTACACATTTGGGGCACTGGAAGTTCTATGAAGTTCAAGAATCTCTTTTTGGTAATGTAGAATGAAGTTGTCACAGATTTATCTATCTTTTCCCCTCAATAAGTAAACAGACTGGTCCCTGCTATTGCACATTTTTATAGCCAGCCAAAATTTGTAAAATTAGGTTTGGCCATGCAACTGGACACACGAGTTTGCCATATTTTGCAATCTTTTGCAACAGAATAGGCATCTTTCATTGAATATTGATGTTTTGATCCTCTTAAAAGGTGTTGCACCAAGTTTACTTGGCATTCCTCTCTTTCTCTTTCCATCAACAATTATTCATTTTTAATGCAATTTTGGAATGTCTGTGGTCTAATAGAGGTAGAATACAGCTAGCAAGGCCTATTCATATGTTCTGTTCTTGATAGCACGTCATTTGTGATGTGGTTGCAATAACCAATTTTTAAGAATTTTGCAAAGACATTTCATGAGAAACTGGATAACTGATCAGCTATCAGATGATGTAAAAAGCAAATTACAATAAAGTTTATACCTTGAAAAAAAAATGCCATCTTTAATCTAAGAAAGTACTTTCTTCCAAAATTAAGTGGATTTTTGCAGGCATAATACATAAATCTGTTACTTCTGCCAATGGAAACTGACAATAATTTGAATAAACCAATATGGCAAATTATTCATTGTTAATATTAAACGGCAAGCTGAAATAATTGATAAAATAAATGATTTAAGCCAATCTGATGTCAGAAAAATTTGGTTCACTATTTGACGAAATATTCAGAAATATCTGATTATAAAGTTTTAAAACAATCTGAGATTATGATTGAATTATTAGAAAGTTGGCTTTAAAATCTGATATCAGTACGAGTGACTGTCAATGCTAAATTAAAATCATTAAGCATCCTTTGCATGAAAAAGAAAGAAGCTCCTGAATCAATGCTATGAGAAGAAAAACCAAACGTAAAGATAAAAATTTGAACCAGAACATACTTCCAAAAAACAAGCACAGACATGTCATTATAGATGATGAAAGTTATTTTACATTGTACAATGATTGTCAACCAGCTAATAATGCTTTTTACACATCTGATTCTTAAAAACTCCAGATAATGTAATGTTTATCGAACAGGCAAAATTTCCTAAAAGCCTGTGTGTTTGATTGTCATAAGCAGAAATATCATTCTACCACAATTTTCTTTCCTGAAACTGGCCCCTAATAGCTGATATAACCTAGATGGCCAGATGGATGAGTGATTAGGGTAACAATCTATTATTCTGAGGAACCCAGGATCAAATCTGGATGGGCAAAAACCCCAGGAATTTTTCAGAGGAATGGTCTGTTCAGATATGTTGGGTCCTGTCCCTCTGAGAAGTGTACACATGAAAGATTATGATCATCTATTAAAGAACTTATCAATCAGGATAATAAATCTTTTGATCCGATGGTACTATAGCCTACTACCCCAAAGCTTCAACTAATTACCATCAAAATAAAGCAGTCAGTCTTGTTTGATGGTAGTCAGTTGAGAATTAAAATGCAGTGATATTGGTAATTTATAAAATTTTAATATTAAATAAAAAAAATTTTAAATATTTATAATTAGTAATTTCCCTTCATTTTCTAAATTATTATTATTAATTTGACAGAGATTTACTAATGAGAAGCAGTGTTAAAGCATGAGAAATGAGATTAAAGCATAGCTCAGGGGAATGACAACTTTGTTTTGGTAAATAATTAAGCCATTATACTTGAAAATGTTAACCTACATTAATTTTTTCCCCTATTGATAACTCCAATAAAGCAGTCACATTATCAATATCAATATTTATTTTTTGTCCGTAATTGTCTTGCAAATAAATGTATACAAATAAGATGTTAAATATCAAATTAGGCAATTATTAAAACAAATATGAGCTTAAACAAACTGTCACACTTTTTCGTACCAGAAATCATTCAAATTACTAAATCAGAAGACAAACATGAGTCAAACTAAAATTAAAACAATGAAATATGATAAAACTGATTATTTTAGTTAGTTACATCATTATGTTTTGTCAGGTTTTACCTTAAAATAATAAAAAATTTTCTTTTGTTTACATCTGAATATAACAAAATATTAATTATAGCATGATTCCTAATTCTGGCATCTCTACAAGGTCATAATAAAATACACTATCCTACTTATAATTATTATTATTATTATTGTAATTAGGAATTTTATTCAAACAATATACTCAATCCAACAAATAATATAACAATATTAATTAACTCATATCATATCATATCCTTTAGAATTTCAGTATTAATATTTCTCCGTTTTGTTTAAGAAAAATGCAACCAATACATTTTATTAACAAAGTTATTCAACCATCAAAAGTAATGTTTAAGTTCTTTATTCTTCTAATTATAATTAAATGTGATGATCATTTTATATTAATTAATACAGTTGTAACTTTCAACCAATTTAATTTTAATAATGCGATAAAAGTATTTATGCCAACAAGTTAATGATGTAAGGACTAAAACTTAATTATATACAGATGTGTTTAAGCTGTAATGAAATGAAACTTTTTAAATAAAAACTTAAATAGATAAATGTATTATTCAAATGTAAGGTGTGTTTCAAATTTATACGGACACGAAAAAATTAAAGTGAAACACAAATTTGCTGCATTAAGTGACAAATGTTCTATTAAAAATAATATGGATTTACATGTTTCTACACTGCAAAATAAGAATTTTAATCAAACATTAATATTTTGTCACTGAAAATAATATTTTTGAAAATCTTATACAAAAAAACTGTTACATATTTATCCGGACAGGTTTCAAATTGCAAAGTTTTCTTACAATTTAATGGCCAATGTAACCACCATTTAACTTAATTACATTAAATACTCGATTAGGCATTGTTTCAATTAGATTCTGAAGGAATTCAATCTTAAGTTTATCCCAAGCATCTGAAATTGCTGCCTTCAAATCATGAATTGTGGAAAACTGCTTTCCATTGGCATAAACTGTACGAACCATCATCCCCTAAAGATTTTCCATCGGCTTCAGGTCAGGGCTTCTAGCAGGCCATGTCATCAGATTAATATTTTTACGTTTAAACCACATTTTTGTTGATTTAGAGGCATGCACAGGGGCATTGTCTTGTTGAAAGATCCTATTTAGTCCACAAATATTTGGTCCAGCTTCCAATAAATGATCTTTAAGCATGCCTTGATACTTCTTTGAATTCATTCTTTAAGTTATAAATGCTAAATCTGTGGTTCCGTTGAATCCAAACGAACCCCACACCATTATTGATCCCCCACCCATTTGGCGTTTTGAAAATATTTGTTTTTCGGTTCTTAAATCGCGCTAATAATACTTCAAACCGTCCAGACCATCTAAGTTGAATTTTTTTTCATCACTGAACAAAACTTCAATCCATTCATAGGACCATGTCATGTGTTTTTGTGCCCAATCAAGTCTGTCACTTTTGTGCTTTAATGAAAGTGGTGGCATTAGTTTTTTTTCTAAATTTTAACATTGGAGATTTATTTAAAACTCTCCACACTGTTGTGCTGCTACAAGGCAAGTCTAATTCTTGTTTTATTTTTCTTATTGATGTTTGTTTTGTGGAGCAAACCTTGATGATTTGTCTACAATCTCGAGGAGTAAGCTTGGGTTTTGGACCTGTCTTGAATATTGGTAAATCCTTGCCACGTCTTTTTGATAAATAATCACCAACAGTTGATTTTGGACGATTTATATATGCTGCAATTTCTCTTATTGACTTGCCTTGTGATTTATAGGCATCAATCTGCCCTTTTTCATAATCAGATAAATTCTTTGTTCTACCCATTTTAGAACGTTGAACAACGTAAAGAATTTGTATTACAATTAGATATGTAAGCTAATTTGCATATTTCAATGCTTGAAACTAAACAATATTCTGTTTAAGTCATAAAATGAGTGCCTGTCCGGATAAATATGTAACAGTTTTTTGTATAAGATTTTAAAAAATATTATTTTCAGTGACAAAATATTAATGTTTGATTAAAATTCTTATTTTGCAGTGTAGAAACATGTAAATCCATATTATTTTTAATAAAACATTTGTCACTTAATGCAGCAAATTTGTGTTTCACTTTAATTTTTTCGTGTCCGTATAAATTTGAAACACACCTTATGTCCATTAAAACCTGTATTAACCAGAGTTTTTGGCTGCTTATTATAAATCTATAAATTACATTATACTTATTACAAATGTAATGACATAATAGTAAATTTATCCAATTATTTCTGGATTAAAATTGGGTTAATTAAATTAAATAATGATCATTATTTTATTTAATTATCCAATTTTAATCAAAGATTTATAATTATTAATATAAAATAATGCTATTCATAATTTTGAAACATTACTATAAAGTATTTATTATTAAATTTAATTTTACGCATAGACACACATTGTTTTTGCAAATATATATTGAAATTATAACAAGTAATTTTTCACATTCTATCATTAGAATGAATGCTCATATCCATTCATCTAAAATGAAATTTTCTATTGACTTATTAATAACAAGTGTGTGTACATTGATTCTTATTCTAGTTGTGTTTTGAAATGCCACATGTAATTAAAATGTGACCTTAACAATAAAGGTTAATACATGTAGATTAATAGACTATTTGGCACCAAAGACAATGTTTTGGCGACACCACGCATAACTAAACTACAGTCAAGGTTAACCTAGGTTTCTTGATGAACCATTGGTCAGTAAGGTCAATGGTTCACATGGCATAAA